GCGATGTCATTTGTACGCAGATGATGTCCAACTCTGTCACTCCTTTTCACCTGCTACTAAGGAGGCTGTCGAGGTCCTGAACCGGTGCTTGGCCGCTGTGACGGTCTGGATGGGGGCGAACAAATTGAAATTGAATCCAGACAAGACAGAGGTACTCCTGGTTAGTCGTAAGGCCGAACAGGGTATAGGGTTACAGCCTGTGTTAGACGGGGTCGCACTCCCCCTGAAGACGCAGGTTCGCAGTTTGGGTGTGATCCTGGACTCATCGCTGAGCCTGGAACCCCAGGTTTCGGCGGTGACCAGGGGAGCATTCGCACAGTTAAAACTCGTGCGCCAACTGCGCCCGTACCTTGGGAAGTCTGACTTGGCCACGGTAGTCCACGCTCTGGTTACATCCCGTTTAGACTACTGCAACGCTCTCTACGTGGGGTTGCCTTTGAAGACGGCTCGGAAGCTCCAATTAGTCCAACGGTTGGCAGCCATGATACTAACTGGAGCGGAGCGCAGGGAGCACACAACTCCTCTGCTGCACCAGCTCCACTGGCTGCCGATTTGCTACCGGGCTCAATTCAAAGTGCTGGCGTTGGCCTTTAAAGCCCTAAACGGTTCTGGCCCAACCTACCTATCCGAACGTATCTCGACCTATCAGCCCACCAGGACCCTAAGATCTTCTGGGGAGGCCCTGCTCTCTATCCCGCCTGCTTCACAGGTGCGGCTGGCGGGGACAAGAGACAGGGCCTTTTCTGTGGTGGCCCCTCGGCTCTGGAACGCCCTCCCATGGAGGTAAGATCAGCCTCCTCGCTGATGGTATTCCGAAGAAGACTAAAAACTTGGATGTTCAAGCAGGCATTTGGCTAATTCGGTGCAATGAATGTGTTGATTACGGATTGGTAATATGGATGATGCAATTGGACCACGATTTTAGTTAGGAGATGTATTGGATTGTGATTTCGTGTAATATTGTGTATTATGTTTTTTATGGTTTTAATTGTATACTGTGCACTGTATATTTTGTTGTAAACCGCGTTGAGTCGCCAATTAGGCTGAGAAACGGCGGTATACAAGGACAGTAAATAAATAAATAAATAAATAAATAAATAAAATACTCTTCTAGTAACATAACAATGCTGCCTCACTTCCACAAAGAAAGTGGTGGCTACAACTTTGACTGCTCCAGTGAGATCTTTTGTTACAAGAACAGGGTGGTCGTGGGCCTCTTGAAGCAATATAATGGGTTATAGGTTAGCTTCCTGAGGGCTACTGCTTCCAGATTAAAAGGTTCTTAGAAAATGTTTGTTGATGTGTCTTTTAAAACTAGGAGTAGGATTTGGTTGTAGATAAAAAGATATGCATATGCCTCTTTTCCCCACACCATAAAGTGTTGGACTTTCTCACTCTCAACCATAGCTGTCTACTCAGGGCTGTAGTGAAAATAAGATTGATGGCTAGAGAAGAGCCAAGTATACAGTGTTCCCTCACTTATCGCGGGGTTTTTGTTCCAGGACCATCCACAATAAGTGAAAATCTGTGAAGTAGGGATGCTATATTAATTTTAATATTTATATATTGTCTTGTACATTTTACATATTATTTTCTTACCGACGCTTCCTTACCTGCCTTCTGGCCCATCCCAAGGGCCCCTGCCTGCCTCCCTGGCCTCCACAGACTCCTGTAGAACCTCCAGAGCCATGCAGGCAGCAGCAGGCCAGGGAAGCAGACCTTCCCCGTGCCTCAGGCCACAGCACTTTCAGGGTCTGTGGAGGACAGGGAGGCAGGCTTTCCTTGCCGCACCTCAGGCTTCCGCACTTCCAGGGTCCCTGGCCTCCACTGGATGTAAATATTTTATATTTTTATTAATATTTTCAAAACCCTGCAAAACAGCAAGTCCACATAAAGCGAACCGGGAAGTAGCGAGGGAACACTGTATTCGCTTTCCTTGTTGGAGGAAAGACTAATACATAATATTGGAATGATTCAGGACATTGTTTGCAGTTTTCAAGAAATTTCCTGGTGTCCAGAGTGGAATTTCTTTATCTTCACTACAATGCTTCTTTTCAAGTTGCTCAAGCAGTAGGAAGGTTGTACACCATCACATGGAGTAATCCTCACAATCATGTGTAAAATGGATTAAGCAGGCAAAATGATCATACATGAACAAATGCTTTGTGGATACAAACAGGTTGCATCCAAAATCTTAAGCCTAGTTGTTAGCCCAAATAAGGTAGATCCAGTCAATCAGCCGGGCTTGCATAAACCTTGAATTGCCAAATTGCTATGGAGTCAGTGAGTTTACTCTAGTCAGAATGAGGTTGATCTGTCTCTGTGCCAAAAATCTATTTGTGGCAGCTGCATTTTGCAAATAGTAATAGTATGAGAGGAAAGCAATATATGTGTAAAACTATTATTTTTAATGTGTGGGTGTAGGGTATGCATGTGCGAGAGAGGACAGAAGCAGGAGTGAGTTATTAATACCTGTAGTATCTGTGCCAGGGTTATACCACTGTATAGCTTTTATGGAGACAGGGAGGAGGCTGAAAAAAGGAATATCTGCCATGTTTTAGGATGATAGCTCAATATTTGGAAGAGGTGAAGAGAGGTAAAACATGTGAAGAATGTGGTTTAAGAAAAGTACACATCCCAGATGTGTATCGGGCTATAAAACAAGTTCTGTAATGTTCAACATTCCCAAGGAGGGGCAGACAGGGAGGAAGGAGGGAAGAGGTGGGAAAATCTGAAGTTAAGATGATGACAGCATTTTCAGCCACAGAGAGTAAACACACAGGCCCAGCCAGGAATGTGTCAAGAAGACCTGTTAGAAAGTGTGGTTGCAAAGTTACTAATTCCGGCTGACTGCACTTACAATCCTTGGAAATGTTGCCACTTTGGAATGAGAGGGGCCAGTACCTTTGGGTTTTTCTTTGAATACTGCAGCAGCTAGTTAGAGACAGGAGAGTGTTTCTTTTTCTATTGTTTTAGCTGTGCATTTGCTTTGAACCTGAAGTTTAAATAATGCATTTGGCTAATATTTTACTTAAGTATCGGGACTTCAAAAGGGTCCAATCTAACAGCTTTGGCTTCATGGATTAAAGTCAAGCATCTTTATCTAACAATTTATTTTCTTAAAAAACATTCACAAAGAATGTTTCAAGATAAAGCTATTTGAGATGAATGCCAGGCTCTTTAGAGATTCTAAGCATGGCATGGTGCCCAAAATAAGCTTAAAATATGAATTAACATGTGCGGGCAAGGCACTGGGAGCTCTTGAATCACGGGCTTGACTTTCTTTCTGACTAAGGGCCAGTCTTTAATTAAACACTTCTGGTGATAATAGGCAAATATGGGAGTGCTTTGATGGTGCCTTTGAGTAAAATGCAATTGGCCAGGGTTGGCTGAAAGCTCCTTGTATATGAAGCAAACAGGACTTTCTGCTTTGCCAACATATATCTGTCTTCTCCATGCCCAGATGCATCTTTGTCTGAATTGCCTCCTCTCTCTGGCATCTCCTCACTGGCACGTTGCGGCATATGCCCTGTCAAAAAGAAACTTGTGCCTATGTTCCTCTAACATGTTTTTTACCCACGAAGTGCTTCCTTAAGAGAGTAGTCAGACTTCTACATTTGCTAGAGTTGGATCCCTGGATCCCTGTGACACTCAAAAACCATAAAGAAATTGCTGCTGTTTATCTGTAAGAACACCTCTCCAGGAAGATCTAGATTTTCCAACATGACTCTTATGATCAATCTCCACTGGAAGCTGACCATAGAATATCTCTAGAAACCGCAGTGTGACTGGAGGACATTGGCCATAGAGTCATAGTGGAGGAGATAGAGTTTCCTAGAGAGAATATATGTAATCAATCAAATGCACAAAAGTAAAAAAACAAAACAAAACCCAAAAATGTGGAAACACAGCTATACTTTCCAGGGCGATTACTGGAGACTTCTGTTTGTAACTTTACTTTTTTGAAAAATGTGTCTTGTGTAACTGAACAGACTTTATTGTAACAATGCTCTCTGTGACTATCTCAGAGGAAAATTACATTGCAACTACTGAAACACTGTATTTCCCAGAGACCTGGTTCTCAATAAAGCCATTAATCCTTTTTGTGGAGCCTTTAGACTGCAGGAGGGTGCTCACAGGAAACATCTATTATGCTTTTCCAGTGGGATCCTTTTACAGTATATATTTGTCATGTTTTTAGGATGATAGCTCAATCTAAAGATAGTGTATACTTTAACTGCCATGGCTCCATCCTATGGGATCTTAGGATTTGTATTTTAAGGAGAGATACCTGGAACTCTAAGCCAGGGAGTGCTAGTTCTTCTGACCAAACTACAGATCCTCAGATTCTATAGGAAATATTTGAGGCTGTTAAAGTGAAATCAGCATGCCATAATTGGGTAGTATGTAAGCTCCCAAGGTTTGAGTACAGAGGATTTTTTTTTCTGTTGCAGCCCTTCTCTGTTATCTTTTCAAATGTCAATGAAGAGCTTCTTTATGGGTTTGGTTTGCTCTTCTATTTATTTATTTATTTGTTTGTTTGTTTCAAACATTTATACCCCGTCCTCCTCAACCCCCGAGGGGTGACTCAGGCCGGCTTTCAACTGGCAATATGTTCTTTCATCTGTTCATACTTAGGTTACATTTTTACTTTTTTTGTTTTGTTTTTGTATTTATAATCTGCCTTCATGGTGATTGCAGAATGTTTACAATGTAAACAAAATATGAATCTTTCCTTCATAAGAAGATATTCTCTATAAATAGCAAAGTTGGTTTGTCATGAAAATAACCTGCTTGGAATCTTTCTCCCCAAGATCTCTTTTTCAGTATGTTAATAGGAATACCACATATTACTTTGATCCTATTCATTGTTGATCCCTCTCTCAAACATGTTAGAAGTTCTACGTTCCAAATGTAGGTTGTTGGTTAGTGTGCACTCAGTGACAACTGAGTCTCACTGGTGTGAGCTGAACATGTAACCCTTCAAATTCTCTTTCCAGATCCAGTCAGAGGAAATACAGTATTGGGAAACCAGACCAAAGGGATCTGAGTGAGAATTTGGCTGCAACACAAGGGCTGGGCCATATGATAATGGAGTGTCACAGACTCTTTCAGGTAGGTCCCCCCCCCCCCCCCGGGTAAAGGCATTCCTTAGCTGTATTTGCAACTCGATCTGTCATGCTGCTTTGGAAGCTTGCATAGTCTCACGTTTGTTATTTTGCTGCCCAAATATCAGAACAGAAGCCATTTTATTTGCTGGGAGTAGAGTGACTCTAAAAATCATGCCCAAGGGGTGCTTTAGAGAACTGGTTAAAAGGTGACCCAATAGCCATGTTATAATATTTGAAAGGATGTCATATTGAAGAGAGAACAGACTTGTTTTTGCAATGGAGAGTGCCTTGATTATAGGCATGGAAGGGAATTGAATTGGATGGTCCTTGGGGTCTCTTCAAAATCTGTGATTCTGTCAGTTATTTGATGTAGATCAGATATACCTGGAGTCTCATTGGCATTTTTAGCTACTTCATCACACTGTTGATTCATTCAGTCCAATTTTGGAGACTTGCTGGCACCTCTTCTCCTACAATACCGATTGCACAGTCTTTTATGGGGGAGGTTCACCTTCTAATGTGAGGCCAGAACTGGTAACACTGAAGAATGTGTGACATTTGAGGCGCTGGACCAGTCCTCTGACTGGCAGCATTTGCACTGATATGGCCTAGTGCCAAAATGCATTTTTGCTCGTGCATTGGAACAGCATGTTGTTGGAAGAGTCCACCATTCCTACAGTCTGAGTGAGGCTTTCATAGACAAGGTGGGAAAGTGGCTTTTAAACTGAAATATTTCGGTCTTGCTAAGTACTCCCTTGGCTTACATGCTTCTTCTCCACTGGTATGCAAACAGAGTGTGGGAGAAGGATGAAACCAGAAAACAAGAAGAGACTGTGAGTGGGCAGGAAGTTGCTAAGAACAGAGCTTATTTGGGAAGGGGAGAGGCCGTTTACTACTTCTGAAGAATGCAGGACCAAAAATAGTTCAGGGTTGTAATATGTTGTTAAATGTTTTCCTTTTGTACTTGACAACAACCTTATTTAAGTTCCAAGAGGAAAGCTAACTAAACTCAAAAGGACACTGGTATTCTCCTTGCCACTGTATATCTTAAATCCTTTCCCCCACATAGCATTATTGTTTGAGAGCCTCTAATCTAACAGTTTCCTAAAGCTTTCTCAAATAATATCTTCCGCGTGTTTGTAACAGTGTGATTGTTCCCACACACCCTGGTAATAGAAATATTTATTTCCTTTTTGCCCCTTTGATGTATGTATATTTCATGTATGCTATGTCTGGAGGTGCAGCAGCTTTTGCTTTGCATCAGTTGCAAAGCTGCTGCACATCTAAACTTAAAACCTGTATTTTACATTATTAAACATATGTGAAGCATATATTAAACACATATGCATATGCATTTATGTAAGTACTTGGGACACCTTGATCACTGAGATTGCTGTAGTGGGAGGTACAAAGACATCGATTTGTAGCTTGTTTTCTGCTATCCTGGAGACTAGGACACAGAACAATGGCTTCAAACTACAGGAAAGGAGATTCCACCTGAACATTAGGAAGAATTTTACAGCAGTGGAACTCTTTGCCCCAGAGTGTGGTGAAAGCTCCTTCTTTGGAGGCTTTTAAGCAGAGACTGGATGACCATCTGTCAGGTGTGTTTTGAATGGGATTTTCCTGCTTCATGGCAGGGGGTTGGACTGGATGGCCCATGAGGTGTCTTCCAACTCAAGGATTCTATGATTCTATAAGTAGCAGCTGTAAAATGACATGTACTTTTGTAAAGTGACATTATGCCAGTGTCACTGACTAAATTTTAACCCTTATTCCCAGGCCTTGTATTTTAGCTTTCCTATTTTGAAGGTAATGCAATTTCTAGAATATCCTTGTTTCTAATAAATCTGAATCCTTCCATTTTTTCCAGATACCTGACTATTATTTTGATCATGATCGTGATGATTTGCAAGTTCCCCATAATTCAGAGGAAGCAGTTCTGCCCCAAACCTCCATGACCAGGCACTCCAGCACAGTGACATCCCTGGAACACTCCATGCAGGACCTGCTCCGAGATGCCAAGGAAAAGTTCAAGAACTGGGTCGCTTGCCCCACCTTAGAAGAAGGAGTAGATGCAGCATATAAAAAGGTAATGGATGCAAGGATGTTCAAAAGATTCAGAGTGGATGTTTGTCAAAATGGTGTTCTGTGGTTGTGTATTCGCTGAAAACAGTCCGATTGCTAGCCAGTGGTATCCTAGAGTATTGAGGAAAAGATGCTATTCATTTATCTGATGAGTAAGCTGTGCGTTAAGTCAATTGATGAGGTTTAATAAAAGGTACAGAAGAGCCTTAAGACTACAGTACCATGGCTAAGTGAACTAGGGAAATTAATTAATTAATTGTCTGGCATGTGTTGAGTTTAACTTGATGTTCTGTGGTAGAGTGCTGGGAGCAGCAGCCTCAACAATATTTGGTTGGCTGCACTTTGTCCACAGTGGCTGTAATGGATGCGGAACCACACTGAAGCCAGTCCAGTTGGTTTCATCTAACAGATAACAAGGGTGCAGTCCTGTGTCTGGGTATAAATCACGGGACTTACTTCTGTCTAGACATGTATAAAGATGTTTGGTTACTGGAGGGATATTTTTAGATAACTGTTTATTAGACTTGCCTTTAATATTCAGTCAATATATATTGAATGAGGGATGGAAATCTGCCAAGCTGTTTTCTTAATAGATAAAATATCTCCCAAGGTGGATGATGACAACCATATACGGTTATGGAAAGCTTCTGTTGAAATTAATGCTGCCCCGAAAGTAGTTTTATACCGGATATTGATGGAGCATCACCTGTGGGAACCAAATCTTCAGCAAACAAAAATCCTAGAGATCTTGGATGATGAAACTGACATTTACCACTACTCAACAGAGAATATGTTTCCACTTCCACCGCGGGAATATGTGGTCCTGAGGTGAGAATCTTCCCATTTAACTTGTCAGTAGTTGCCATAATTATGGGGCAAGATACAGAGCAAAATGTATTGTATTCTGGCATGAGTGAATGAAAAGGGCTTAGCTGGAAGATTAACTTTTGAAGTGTACATTGTTTCCCCTGATGCCACACATGACAACTTTTGCAAATTTGAAAAAAAACAACAACACTCAGGTTGAAACTTGCCTTGTACATATTTGCAATGTTTTTACCCTTGTTCATATGCATCTAGAATTGCACTCATCCTGTTTTTACATGGTCTTACCAGTTTATGAATTTGCTGTGCACTTTTTTCCGCTGAGCAAATTGGGTCTTTGGATTGTAATAAAGATTGATGATGATGATGAAATTTGGGGGGAAATTGAAATGGTCTTCCTTTCTGGAGAGCAGTCTTTACTGTTTAATGAATTGGTATTTTGTCAAAACTTCATTAAATTTAGAATTTATTTGCAACTTAATATAACAATCCCCCCCCTCTCTCCCCTCGTACTTCTTTTGCACACCCACCCCTAATTTTAAAAATAAAGGTGAAAAATTATCCATGGGAAACCATAATTTGCCACTTATGATAGCATTATGCACTCCCAGCCACCCCCAAACATCCTTATTTTAAAATCTGCCAAACCTGAGTAAACAGGAAGTCAGACTTCAGTTTCTGAAGTGGAGCGATCTTGCCAAGTCATCTTGGCCTCTGCGTCAATTGTCACAAAGTAAACTTGATTTTAAAATAATTTCTCCCTTGAAAAGCAATCACCTAAGAGGGGGGTTAAACAGAGGGGTGCTTGAGGAGCAGGACTTTCCTCACAGACCAGAATGAGCAGATCTTGGAAAAATTAACCTAATTCGCAGTAGCAGTAAAGAGAGGTTTGTAGGGCCAGATAATTTTACAGCATAATTTAACTACCAAAGCCTCACATCTCTGATTAAAATCAACTACATGATTGAAGCATGTATAAATAATAGCTATGATAATATGTTATGAAGTGTTGCTTTTTTAAAAGTGTGGCCACTGAACACTTGAGCAATCCACAAAGTGATCCACAGCTTCATTGTAGTTGCTCATCTAAATCCATATAAGCGGGAGATTGTTGTTAATTGCAATTATAGAAATGAACTTTTGGGGTCACTAAGTAGGTTTCAATCCAGGAAAACTTAAGAAATTTATGATCTTTTCATATTTCCAGGACTTGGAGGACAGACCCTCAAAGCGGCACGTGTGTGTTAGCAGCTACCTCAACCAATAGTGAAAACACTACTGTGAATGGGATCTTAGCTGAAGTTTTTCTTTGCCAGTTCCTTATAGAAGCTGTTGGCTCTCAGAAATCCAAAGTGACACATGTCTGTCGAATAGATACCAGGTATTTTTCTCTCTCTCTCTCACTCACTTTGCATTCAGAACTTATTTCAAATAACAAAGAATTGTTGAGTGCTGATTTCACTTATGAACATGCAGCTGACTTTCAGAACTGTTCTAGTCTGGATCACCACTCAGATTCAAGACACTTTGTCCTGTTCGTTGAACATTCTTGCACAAGTTGTTATGCTCACTAATGCTGCTCCTACTTATTAGATCAATTGAAATGGAATAGGACAGTGTTTTGCCTAATGCCATGACCCCTGATAAATACCTGATAAAATTTCAGTAGTGGTGGGTTTGGCGGGACTGATATTGTCAGTTGGAAGTTGTAGTTGCTGGGATTTATAGTTTACCAACAATCAAAGAGCATTCTGAACTCCACCAATGATGGAATTGAACTACACTTGACATAGAACTCCCATGACCAACAGAAAATACTGGAAGGTTTTGGTGGGCATTGACCTTGAAATTTGGAGTTGTAGTTCACCTACATCTAGAAAGCACTGTGGACTTAAACAATGATGGATCTGAACCAAACTTGGCACAAATCTTCAATATGCTCAAATGTGAACACCGGTGGAGTTTGGGAAAAATGGACTTTGACATTTGAGAGTTGTAGTTGCTGGGATTTATAGTTCACCTACAATCAAAGAGTATTCTGAAACCCCACCAATTACAGAATTGGAACAAACTTACCACAGAGAGCCCCCATGACCAATAGAAAATACTGTGTTTTCCAATGGTCTTTGGTGACTCCTGTGACATCCCTTTGTGACCCCCCCCCCCCAGGGGTCCTGATCCCCAGGTATAGAAACACTGGAATAGGAGGTTTGCTGTATCATAGTTGGTAAAGTTATATGATTAGGACCAAGTTGTTAAAAGAGACAGTGCTTTTCCTTTTGCCATTTGAGAGTATGGTCACATATAACTTAGGGAAGCCATTCCACATAGCTCTTCTGTTATCCAGTTTATAGGTGTAAGCAGGTCTGCCTTGCTAGGCATTTCCTGCACCTCTAAGATCCATATTGGTTTTCAAATGTTTTCATTTTTAAGTTGGTGGTATTCTGCTGTTGAATATGGGATGTGGAAACAATGCACAACATGTTTAGTGTCTCATGATCCCCCCCCCCTTTTTTTTTTCTTTCTTGGCAGGGGCCGGACAACAGAATGGTACAACAGGGCTTTTGGTCATTTGTGTGCTGCAGAACTGACACGGATTAAACAGTCATTTAAATCTTCACCTTACTGAAACCAAACCAAAAATAACCACTTGACACTTTTAGAGAAGAAGGCGATGTGTGTGGTCCGCGGCTGCCCTTTTCAAAGCCTGAGACTAAGCTGATTATCCTTTGTTAAAGCTTTTACGAACTAAAAGAGCAAATATATAAATGTAATGTTAAATAATACCCTTTAACCGACTGATACTATGCACCGTTGCTTATCACATACAAATTTTATATGAAGAAAATTGAATTATTTTGAATATTGCATATCAAAGTAAGTTATTTAAAAGGAATGTCTTGCTATGGTCTAAATATATTTTAAATAACATGTAAATGTGAGATTTTATATTTTTCAGATATTTTATAAACAACAAAAAGTGAGAATAGTATATTATCTTTTACACTTCTGGAGTTTAGAATGTTGGGATTTCTGGTTTTAGTACGATAGCTGATTAGGAATTAATGACACCCATATAGGAAGTTATGTTGGACCTCTAGTTGCAAATACTTGTGCCACAATGTAGGTAAGAAGACATCTGTTTGAGCTTTTACCTAAATTCAGAGTTATGTAGGAATGTTTCTATAAGTATATTGTCAGCAAAATGGGTGCTTTGAGATAACAATAGTCTATTCAACAATGATCAAGGTAACATCTCATAAAGCCAAAAATGCTGTTGAATGCCAAACTCCTTTGGAAGCAACAGCAGTCTTGCCCCAGGTGTATATCAAGTAGTAGCACTATGTAGGGAACAGAGTGCCACTGGGATCTCACCACATAATCTTGTAATGAAGAATAGTTCAGAATAGTTCTGCATCATGGTGGGTGGTGTGTTTTTAGGATGAGAACCTGCATTAGATGTGTTGTAGTTTGGTGCAGGTGGAACCTATCAAAGAAATACATTTCTGTTCTCTCCCATTCCACAAGACTTATCCCCCCTCTACAGGGGGCCCTCCTTCATGGCCATTTATTGAGCAGGAGAAGCATGCATCTCTATAAACCAGATGAATACACCAGGCGTTGGTATCATCTGAGGACACCCGAGAGATCTCCTGTCACTTTGTCTGGTTATAGGCACATAGACAGATGCTTCCCTGAAACAAAACATGGCTTTGGAAGAAGGCCCCTTGGGGAGAGGAAGGCAAGTACTGAGAGGATTTGAGTATTACGTGAGGTAGGTTTCCATTATGCCTGTGTAGATGCCAGTTATGTATTTGTGTGAAAAAGAATAACATAGCCGATTGGGTTGTAAAGAGCAGTGCTGGCAAACGTTCTCATTTTCCATTGAACTTTCCCCATGCAGGAGTTCACAAACTTACAATGCTTGATCAAACGCCAGTCTTTGCCTTTAAGGTTTCTAAGACACCTTCGTTCCTTTCTATGGAATGGGGACATCCCAGTTAACCTGCAAAGTACAATCACTTCACACGTACCAGTCCTACTTTGAAGTGAGCTGGTCTTGAGTGAAGCTGACTTGCTTCATAAAATGTCATAATGAATAACTAAAGTTCTTAGACTGGTACAAAGACTACTGTGAGTAGTTTTGCAGCAGCTTCTAAATGTTTTACTTTGTAGCTTTTAAAGCAGTCATGGGCAAACTTTGGCCCCCTCGGTATTTTGGATTTCAACTCCCACAATTCTTAACAGCTGGTAAGATGGCTGGGATTTCTGGGAGTTGAAGTCTAAAACACATGGAGGGCCAAAGTTTACCCATTCCAGATTTAAAGCCTTTTACCGCCATACACCATGAAGTATTTCATCACTCCTTCAGTAGGAAAATTCCAGCCCTGTGCATACATAGAGAACCAGAAGTTGAACAGGGATCTTATTCAGCATGTAAGGGTAAATTATGTTTAGTATTTTTTTGTACATTTCATTCCCCTACTAATGGGATTTTAAAAATAGGCCAAAAACACTAGTACATTCAGCAGTAGTAAAGCAAGTAGCCAGGTGACCTCCTTGTGCTACAGTGAGCAAATATTTCAGTTCTGATCTGTTGTCCAAAAATTTGAATACAAGAGGAGGCCTTGCAATTTTAACATTGTTTCCGTTTGCCAAAAACAGAAGACCAACATTTTCAATCCTTAGGCATAGGAATGGAATATTTCATCTAATTTTTGAATTGGAAATGAGTGTAAAGAAAATAAACATATTCCAGCTTATTATACATGCAATATTTTAAACCTGTAACATCCGTCTGTATTTGCAAATTATTCCCACTGTAAAATACTATGGCAATGATTATAAGTTCAGACAAGGCACCTTTAATAAATGGTGGAGCACTCAATGACTGCATTACTGACTTGTGGCACAGGCAGTTTTGCTCACAAGGACTTCTCTGCAACCCTTGGTGTTAGATGTCTTTCCAGCTGTTGCAGTGTACAGTTTGTTAAGCTGTTTTAGGCCATTCCTCTTGTTAATAAAAGACTTGTGATGGACTTTTTTTTTTTACTTTGGGAAGACAATTCTGTGAAACCTTGTCCTTTTTCAGTTGACTATAGTTGTTTAAATATTCCAAATTGTATTCTGCAACTTAATAAACTTGATCTTCGCCGACAGGATTCTTTACAGTTTGGTGTGAATTAAATCTGAATGTTACATGGAGTAAGGAGTCTGTACACTATTTGCATGTTGGTGTGTAGTTATAAACAGTAGCTCCTATTTCCTTCACAAAATAAGAGACAACGGAACTTCAGCATTCACTGCTTTTATTTTATTTTTTTAATAAGAAGCCATGATTGCCAACTGATTAAATGCTGACAAGTCTGTAAAAAAATCCAGGACATTACATTTTCTGAACGGGCTTGATTCCCAAGATGTCGAATCCTTTGGCCATAACAGCAGCTGTTGCCTCACATAAAAGCATTCGCCACATATTCACTTTCACTATTTTACCTAGAGAGAAGAGAAAACAGGACATAAGGGGAGAGTGTCTGGGTGTGCACACAGGTCGCTGGTTTCCTGGCAAAAGCAGCATATACACCTAAGCTTTGCTCTCTGAACAGCAGCACTATGATTGTCTTTTGTCCCTCACATTGAGCTCTGGCTGTTTTGCCCAATTTTGTCTACTGACACTACAAAGATTTTATTCATCTGTTGGTCATTTTCCATCTTGATTACTGTAATTTTCTTAAGACTGGCCTACCAATATCCCATTTTAGTTCCCTGTTTTCTATTCAACATTCTGCTAGGATTATTTTTGGCCTGTTGTTTCAATCACATCATTCCACTGCTGAGGCCACTCCACTGGCTTCCTGTTCCTTTCAGGATCCAATATTGGCTGCTTGTACATGGTGCTATACAAATAAACCAAGGAGCCCTGCCAAAGATGCAAGCTCTATGTGAACTACCTCCCTTCTGTCTTTCAGCTTGCTTTCCTCTTTACTGGTCTAGTTTTAATATGAATGTTTTCTAAAACTTTTGGAATTTCTGTTAATTTTACTTTTATAATGTTATATATTCAAATACACCGCTTGTTTTTATAACCACATTGTAGAAGTCTCTTGCCTGAGCAATGCAGATTGTTAACCACTTCTTCTCTAAACATGCTTCTTTGGCATTGACAGGACTCCTCTTCACTGGGTAAGCAGTTCTGTCCACATCAAACAGCCTGTATGTCACCAAAGTGACCCCATGCCATCATGGCAAGAATGTACATAACAGGATGTACACAGTCCTACTAAAATGAACAACTTCCTTCTAAAGTTACCATTTCACCCTGGAAGATACTCTTTAGGAATTTACTAGGTCATCCAGGGTGGCTCTATGGGAACATCTGGTAGAAACATGCCATAGAGTTGCCTGGAGAAGCTAGAACATATTTTGTCGTATGTGGACAAGCAAACTGAAGGCACAGAGGTTGCACTGTACGTTAATTCCTGTCCTTTTGAGTTTGCCAGATAAGAATCAACCATTTTTTCCTCAAGGGTTATTTTGTGTTAGATGTGACTTGAGAAACTGCAAATCACTTCTGATGAGAGAATTGGCCATCTGCAGAGATGTTGCCCAGGGGACACCTTGATGTTTTACTATCCTGTGGGAGGCTTCTCTCATCTCTCTGCATGGAAAGCTGGAGCTGATAGGTGGGAGCTCACCCCATCTTGCAGATTCGAACCACCGACCTTCGGCTCAGCAGTTCAGCTGGCACAAGTGTTCAACCCATTGCGCCATCATGGTCTCAAGGGTTCCAGGTGCCCTTATGTTGAAGTGGGTACTTTCTCATAATGGGAGGTGAAATATTTTCTTGGAGAGTCCCTGCAACCCTCAAACTCTAGTTCAGTGATAAAAAGAGGACCTAGTTTAATAGGAGAGAGCAAATGACTCTTTTTTTAATTCTGTCCCTCTTAGCTCTGGAGCCACAGCCATTTGACCCAACTCCCTTTTAAAATGAAGACATAACAACTCACCAGTTTGCCTGTCTTTTTCCACACAATAGCAGCTGTCATAGAATTCAGTAAAGGTGGTGGCCAGTTCATAGAGATAGTCACAAAGGGTATGTAGTAAAAGGTCATCCAGGATCTTCTGAATAATCTCAGGAAATCTTAAAATACATCTGCCTAGCTTCCATTCCTTTTCGTGGTCCAGTATGATCTCTGTTGTCCTAGCTGCCTTCTGGAGGGTGTTGTCATCAATGCTGGCCAGCCTTGCTATAGATCTGTCACAGAAACAAGCCCCGAATTAAGATTCCAGAGCAGGGGTGTATAGCCCCTGAACCACACTGACGCAGTCCCTAAAACTCCCACCAGTATCCCACGTAAAAAGTGATTTTCAAGGGACAATTGTGAGAAGGGTTTACCCTCCCTTTCACACTGCAGTTTATCTTGTTAATCTGTTGGACGGACAACAGTGCTCACATGCCGCCTTTTCCCTATTTTTCCTTTAAAATGGTGACAATAACTAAGTACTGTGGTGCATTTTGGTGGGAGGGGGGACTGCAAGAATTTAGGAGCAGAAGAGTGGCCTAGTGCTCCTGCGTAGTTGTCTACTCTTCTTCCAGAGTAGCCAGGGCTAATCTTTTTATTAAAAAATCCTTTATATATATTGCAAGTGGAAAGGGCATAAAGAAACAAGTTTTACTTTTTCTCTAAAATACACCCTTCCTCCTCATCTTGTTCCATTTCAATTTTCATCTTCTATTGGAATCCAGTAGACACCTAGCAGAGCAAAGGCCTGTTGCTCAAAACAATGTCATCAGCAAACAGAGAAGGAAGGCCCTTTTCACAAAATTCCTTTTACATCCCAGTACATCTATTTCGGGCACTTCCATAAATCCCCAAAGCAGATAGCAGGGGACAAGGTCTTTGACTCAGAAGAATATGATGTTCTTCATTGTCAAGTAGAAAGGCATCACTGAATCAAATCAAACCATGCCAAAAACAAGTACTTAGTCCAATCAAAGTTTAAAAGTGACTTTGAAATCACTTTAAACCAGGCCTGCACCATCTGTGGCCCTCCAGCTCCCAAAATTCCTGACCATTGGGCAAGCTGGCTAGGGCTTCTGGGAGTTGGGAGTCCCAAACACTTGGGAGGGCCACAAGTCGTGCAGACCTGCTTTAAAGCAGGGGAAGTAAGGGCAGCTTATGGGGCCCAACTTGCATCTACTGAAATACCCCCAAACCCTGCAGACCTTGTCACATGTATTAATGGGACTGTGGGAGGCAGCAAAGAATTTCAGGGGCGGGTGGGAATAACCTGTGTCCCATAGATTACTGCAATCATAAAAAACTCTGGCTAGTCTAAAAGAAATGAGTGTGTCACAATATTTGATTACCCTGATGAGTTGTACTCAGGACAAAAGGTTACCGTCAGGACAGAATACGTAGAAACATAATGGTTTCCAATTGACAGGGAGATCAGGCAGGGCTGCATTTTATCACCCTATCTATTTAATCTGTATGCTGAAGATATCATAAAGCAGGATTAGACTTGCAGGAAGGCATTAAAACTGAGGTATGGTACATCAACGAATTAAGATATGCACTGCAGAAAATAACTGACTTGGAATGATAACCAAAGAAAGTCAGAGAGGAAAGGCCATAGCAGGTTTACAACTTTTTTTTTGTCGTGTCAGGAGCGACTTGAGAAACTGCAAGTCGCTTGAAGGTTTACAACTGAACACAGAAAACAAAAATAACAATCACATATGAGCTACATAGATCAGTTGTGCACAACAGGGTTGCAGATAGGTTTTTTACCACCTGACTCCTTTCCCTTAGAGAAAGCAGCAAAGTGGATTAGCTTCAATTTCCCCACTGCCCCTTAACATGATGGCAAGTTGCAGTCTTTTTCCCAGTGAAAGAAGACTTATCTCAGCTCTTGCCTCTGCTGCTCTTCCTTTCTCTTTGACTCTCAGTTGCCTCTGTTGTCTCCTTCTCCTATAGAGGGAAAAACTGCTAACTTTGTGCTATTCATTTCCCTCATTTGCGAGGGAGAAACTTAACTTCACTATGAAGACTCCCACAACAACTTTATGGTGAATCTACACTTCTCCCTCACAAGTGAGGGAAATGAATGGCAGGGAGTTGGTGGTATTTCCCACTGGAGGAGGAGGAGGAGGAGGAGGAGGAGGAGGAGGAGGAGGAGGAGGAGGAGGAGGAGGAGGAGGAGGAGGAGGAGGAGGAGATGACGACGACGACGACGACGAGTGGCAACCCATAGGCAAAGAAAAAAGAAAGAGTGTAGCCAAATTTCTCCTTCAAACGTGAATGATGCCAAATTGGCAGTTTAACCACAGGATGGGGAGAGATAAAAAGAGAAGAACGAAGCCTCCTAGTAAAGAATGAGGCTGAGGCAACAGGAAGTGAGAAAAAATCTACCCCTTGGAAGGGAAATTCATTCCAGAAAAGAGTTTCCATGGGGAAAAGGTATCTCTAATGAAGCTTTATCACCAATCCTTGTTTCCACAATAAGCCCAATTTTCCAAAATGTAATTATCATGGGGACAGAAAGTGAAGTGAAATCTTCTGAAAAGGGGTGCACAGAGCAAAGCAAACACCACAGGGATGTTAGCCCTCCACTATGCTATCCAAAGCTAAAAGATATATAGCATATATTGTCTGGAATTACACTTTAAAAAGTACCGGCTCTGACTTACATACAAATTCAACTTAAGAATAAACCTACAGAACCTACTAGTCATTTTAAATTTTGTCATATTGTCATTTTAATTTTTTAATATGTGATTGCTATGCATTTTAAGATGATGTTGTCTTATGTTTGAACGTCATTGAATTGTTGCTGATTGTTAGCCGCTCTGAATCTTTCTACAAGGGAGAGAGTGTGGGATATAAAGAAAGCAAATAAATAAATAAATGAATTTCTATATTGTTTGTAACTTGGGGACTGCCTATATATACATTTTAGATATGTATGTGGATGGAGAGACTTCTCAGCCAGGTCTTCACTTTGGTGTCTCCAAGATGCCAAACTCCACCTGACAAAAGCTTCTGCCTGATGGCTTCATAAGCCAGTCAGAAATATTACTGGCCACATTTACTACCAACCAGTAATTTTAACACATAAGGCAGCTTCCTGTACATGAGGTTACTACCATATGTCTTAA